CCCACTGTCTGTTTTCTTCTGTTGATCTCCATGATATTTGGCGCTAAGCGCACGTTGGAGGCATCGTTTAATCGTATTCAACGCCAGCTTGTTCTCTGCTTGTCAGACTTCTTCACCGATTTGGCTTTTGCTAACTCGAAACCAACGTCGCTCCTCTGTGGCTTAGGTCTTCTCTTCTGTGCTGTCAGATGCGCAGTGTTAGCGCACAGACGCATTTACGCCAATGAATGTATTTGCTGGTTGTGACGCTTTGTTTACGAAGTGCTCACATCCGGTTGCGATTTGTGGGGGGAAATGCTTTTTTCTCTCCGATTCGCCATTGACCCGGCTGCCTCCTGTGTTCGTGTACCGTCATCATATGAAGGAAGTTTTTGTTACATTTTGGTTCGATATATCAGTGGACTGGCATTGGAACAAATTAGCATCGAACTTTGCCTGACCCGCGGCATTGTATCCGGAACCAACCGCTGTTTAATGCATGCGAGTTTTAAGCGCGCGCTTACTGGTTCCACCGAACGATTGCATATGGACTTTGAGTTTTTCTCCTAGCTGAATGATTACCTTGCAGACGTTACCTTGATAGACTAGACAGCAACAGTACGTCTTCAGAAGTCTTGTTCGCAAAACCTTATAAGCGACTTCGAGGTTTAAATGCTTATTGCTCGAGTACTGCTTTGAATGCCAAGCTTCGATGAACTCACTTACTTTTCGGCTGTCGGCTCTTCTAACGGTGTTGGCGTGCTCCAAGTCGTATTGGTTGTTCTCGGTATGTATATGCACGGATATCAGGGAATTCTGGTCGTATCTACAAATTGAGTCAAAGTTGCACACCAACGAACTGAGACAATTCCTAGTAACCTCTTCAAATTGTACGATAAACTTAGCAATGAAGTAACAACTGATGTGTATATAAGATCTGCTGTCGGAGCTGTGGTAGATACGTGGGATATATATATATATATATATATACGTGCCCCATGCTGAGGCTGATGTTGCATTCTTGATGCTTCTTCACCGCAGTTGGGCTAAACCAACTTACACCTAAACTAGATGTTTTTAAGCTGGCTAAATTTCTTTCTACTTTATTTGGTTTGCTCTGTCTACCTGAATACTCTTCTATTAACCGGCCACGTTGCTTTCATTAATTGCGCTTATCTTCGGTAACTTTGTTGCGTTTGTAGCATTTTTAACTAACTTGTGGACATTTTTCCTTATCGCGGATTTGTTGCTAACCAACTTACTTCAAATGCTAATTTAGCGGGGAGTTGTGCCACTGTATCTGTATGCATTATTGGATTTGTTTTATTTCATCTCGTCGTTCCAGGTGATTGGCTGTTGTTTGATATCCCCGGTGTGGCTGCGCTTGATGTGCATGCTGACAAGGTGTCTACCTGTCTGTTACCCAGTACCTCGTTGATACTGGTTCCAGGAGACAGTTGGTCGTTGCTGGAGGGGACGAGGTGCACGGTCCTTGTGGCCGTGTTAGGCTCGTAGAGTGGTTCCATGTACCCATTGTGGAGCGGACCATCATCCAGTCACCGCCTTGTGCGCCCTTGATTTCCCAAATACAGCGTGCTTGTGTTTGCCTGTGAAGGAGTGTGGGCCTGCTCCGTTGATGAAACGTGGCTCCTATCCACATGCTTCCCGGTCTTATTCCTTCGGGTTTACACTGGATATGGGGTGTGTGTTTGGAGGTGTGAGTGGTGCAACGCAAGCCATCCATGGTCCCTCTGTAGGCGCAGGCGTCCTGTGGCTGGCCTCAGTGACAAGCAAATCCGCAACCGGATGCCGCCAACCATATATATATATATATATATATATATATATATATATATATATATATATATATATATATATTTGCAAAGGTCTACGAATAGACATAATGCCATCAGAAACCATGGGATTCAAACGAAGGTACAGAAATAGTAAAGGAAAACACAACAATGTCCATGGTTTCGTCAGAGGGCGAGATACTACCCGGTTGCCCAAGCCAAAGTAGGGTGTTGACTTAGGGGACACCACTCCGAGCCTTTGGCTGAATTACCTGTCCGCAAGGCGGCGGAGCGAATTCAGGGAATCGCGTCCCTTGAGAGCCGGTGACTGATTGCTCAGTTCGTACGCTTTTCGTTTGTTCCTTTGTCAAACAGGGGCCCAATGCTCCCCAGAACTACAGCATAACGTTGCTGGAATACAATGCTTCGCCAGGATGAAGCAAAGGGCAGTGACTTTATTTAGTGTCGAGTTACGTCCGCCACGTCACAGTGTTGTTAAACGGACATATGTGGCTTTTTATAGAGAGAACACTTGCCAGGCGAAAACCCACCACGTCCTGGAACACTGCCGCCGAACCATTTGCTGGAACGGGAAAATCCCGAACCACCCAGCTGGCACCACGAGAAGGTTGTTCGACAAATTTGTAGAAAGCTTGGCACAAGCTGCACGAACACAGCCTCGCTCTTTGTCACCACGATCAGAACACCCTGGTGTTCGTGCATATGGATGCCGAGAACCACCACCATTTCGATCTGGAGCACTTGAAATCCTCGAGAGAGCCAAAATCCGGCATGCACAGGAGTTCATCGAAGCCTGCTATTGGAAGCAAAACTTGATCAATAAGCATTTGTACGTCGAAGTCGCTTACGAGATTCTGCGAACCAGGACCCTGAGACCGCACTGACGATGTTGACTAGTCTGGCCACGAAACGTCTGCAAGCAGATAGAAATTGGATGTTGCCCGCAAAGCATTCACACAAGTCGGAGAACAAATCAGAATCCACACTCCGATATACGGATATTCTCAACGATTACACTTTAGATACATGCCCAACGTTCGGTATGTTTCCCGAATCCCCCATAGAGCGCTGAACGCATCTAAATCGTTGGCGCTGAGGGCACTGGCTACAGAGGACACCGAGGTTCCACTGGTCTGCGTCAAGTGTGCATTGCCTTGGCGATATGTTGTGTTACCCAGTGGAGATACTACCGGAAATTGCCGTAATCGTGTGTGTACATTTACGACACCCGGTGTGATTTATGTCGCCACAGAGATAAACGTGTGAGTCACGATTGTTTCTGAGCTGGCTCACACTCCTTCAACAGTCATATCGCTGATGCAAACATTCAGGGAACATACGTACCGTGCGTCAGAGTAGCTAGTAGTTTGGGCAAACTGGATGGACGCGGAACCAGCAGACAGGAAACCAATCAAGCGCCGCCCACACGAGCTCGTCATGATTGCACGGGTTGGAAGCGCAAGGTGGAGTTCGTTTGGTGTAACACGAACTGAGCGTAGCTTGGTTGTAGGCATGGGATGTATTCCCCCTGACAACAGCGAGCGAACAGCACACGTGTGTCAACACGTGCCTTGGCTGACCACACTAGGGAAAATGATGATTGGCTAACTAGATGAACTGAGCCTACTCGTGACTAGTGAAAGAAGACGAAATCAAGTGCCGTCCGCGTGAGTTGACCAGAATTGATCAGATGAACAGTAGAGAACTAGCGTTGCCCCTTACGGTTTTACGACGACGAAGCGTCGGGCTTTTTTAAGTTTAAAGCCCAGATTCATTCGTTCTACCAAAAGCCATATCAACACTCGTGCGTTTTGATCCGATGGAGTAGAAGAGAATCTCGTGCCTATATATATATATATATAAATATATATATATATACTTCGTCTTTTTAAGCTGGATTAATTTCATTCCATTTAACTTGGTTTGTTCTGCCTACCTGAAAAGCCTTCTATTAACTTGCACACGTTGCTTACGCTTATTGTGGTTATCTTCGTTAACTGCATCGCGTTTGTGGCATTTTTTGTATAACTTTTGCATATTTTGTAATTATCGCGGATTCGTTGCTAACCAACTTATTTCATATGCTGATTTAGCGAAGAGTTATGTCGACATCACCGTATGCTTTAACAGATATATTTTATTTGCGAATGTCATTTCAAGTGATTGGCAGTTGTTTGGTATCCCCTGTGTGGCTGCGCTTGATGTGCATGCTGACAAGGTGCTTACCTGTCTATTACCCAGTACCTCGTTGATACTGGTTCCAGGTGACAGTTGGTCGTTGCTGGATGGGACGAGGTGCACGGTCCTTGTGGCCGTGTTAGGCTCGTCGAGTGGTTCCATGTACCCAGTGTGGAGCGGACTACGGTCCAGCCACCGCCTTGTGTGTGCTTGATTCCCTAAACACAGCATGCCTGTGTTTGCCTGTGAAGAAGTGTGGGCCGGCTCCGTTGATGAAACGTGGCTCCCATCCACATGCCTCCCGGTCTTATTTCTTCAGGTTTACACTGGATATGGGGTCTGTGGATCATGCAGCGCAAGCCATCGATGGTCCCTCTGTATGCGCAGGCGTCCTGTGGCTGGCCACAGTGACAGGCAAATCCGAAACCGGATGCCGCCAACCATGTGTGTGTTGATGTCATTCAAGGTACCGCATGCGAAAGCATTTACAACTTTCTTTGGGTCGACACGAAAACATGACGCATAGGACAAGGGTGTGTTACAACGGCGGATTTTATTTTCTTCGCGAGATCTTACATGAGCTCATCATGACCTTTTACAACCCGTCTAACTTTTACAGTGTTGGTCGATAGCAAACTTGCATTTACCAAGTGTTGATTTCATTAGCCTGCTCATCCATGCCACTTCAATCTTGATTTTCGTGAAACATCATTGTTGGTCTCTCTGAATTCGCGGATGAACATACCACACTTGTTTACCCTACAGGTAGTGCCGCAGCCGCTCTATATCTTTTAAGGCTTCTTGTTTTCGAAAAATACTTTTCCGAAGCTGCGCCGGCCTATGATTCCAAACGTTGAACACTCGTTTCTCTGTCTTGTAACGATGGCTTGCTTTCTTCCTCCTATCGATTTGACCGTCTTCATGTAGACTTGTGATTTACACAGTTATACTTGGTAACCAACCAGCGCAGTCGAACTTCATCCCCCTTTACTGATCGCAATCTACGTACGTTTCTTTCCATCATTTCAGTTTTTTGGCTACCGTCCGAAGCTATACAAGATTATCACATATGAACCGCCTTCGGCTGTCTCCCTGTCCCCCTCCAACTAGCACCAGTCAAATCGCTTATTGGTTCCACCATGTGTTTGTCTGCGTGCCTTAGTTCCCCTTTCATGCGCTTTTCTGCTTTCCCCCCTTTTTCCACTTGGTCATTTTGATACCCACTTTGGCTGTTCTCATAACTTTCTATGAGTTCATGTGCCTTTTTTTGCTATTTAGCCTATCGATGTACTCATCGGCTGCAATTGGTTGCATACTTTTTCTCAGCTACTATTCGTGCACCCGATGCTTTGTATTGTTTTTCAATTTCAATGATTGTTCTGTCAATTGTCAAACTTTTCTTCCTGCATGTGGCCAGCTTTGCGACAGTCATGTTCACGGCAAAGTGCAACCGAGCCTGCTTGAATATGATTTGCTTTATCAGGGGACTGTGATTTTCGAGAATAAGGTTCCACCTGAATTTGCACTACAAGACATCCGTGGCTTCCCTTCGGGCAATTAAGCTTCTTTTGGTACGTGCGCTTCTTACTCTGTAAAAGTCTGCAGAACCGATGTCGTATCCCTAGGGCTTGGTGTATAATAGAATACCAACTCTGTATCTGTTGAGCTGTGGCAGATTGTTCTTTTCGAGTTCCCTTATTTCTACGAACTAGTTAATCATTGAGTGATAGCGTACTGCCACCAAGCTCTAATTCCCTGGTCAAAATTTATCCTTGTCTATGAAGTTCAGCAGCTCCTCATTCTTAGTGATTTTTTGTCACAAAAGCGTCCTCCACATAGCGCCACCAAACTTCCTTAAGCTGCAGGAGTTACTTAACGCCTCGAAATCCTCTGTGTACAAGTTCACTAGTGCAGTAAACATTGGTGCTCTCATGGTCTGACTGGAGAAGGAAGTAGGACAGATTAAGTCGTACTGGCATGGTCCTCACTACTTGGTCTACTGTAAGCTTGGTTCTCTCCCTAAGTGTAATTATAATGACCATCCTAATACGTATATTTCTCATGATCCGAAAACTGTCTGTAACGGTACAAATCAATATGTACAAAAGTAACCATGCTCTTGCATGGGTGATATGCATAGGTGGAATATTGGGGTATGCGATTCCTGTAATAGCGTTTTGGTGCATAGTTGAACCAAAAGCCAAGGTTTGCTAACGTGGGTGCTTAGTTGTTTTTGGGCTTTTCTTGGAATAGCTCCTCGAGGGGTTTCCCCGTGTGAATATAATCATTATGTATTCCGGTCCAGTTAACTTGAGAGTTTGTTACTAAATGTTGCCACACTTTCACTTGACCTGAGTATGGTTGCGAGTTTATTCCATATTATTATTATTATATAAGTACATCTGACCGGGAAGAATTTTGAGCGACTGCTTGTTCTAGCCTTTGGGATAATCAGTGTATAATGTTTGCTGCGAAGCTCGCGAGTTGAGCTATGTTGCAGATCGAATAGGTTTTCTTACGTGACAGGTCGTCGTATCCCAATTGCTTCGAGTTGAAGTTTCTTGTAGCGCTCTGGATAATTCATGGCGGTGTACTCACAGTCTGTGTGGCATGGAATACTGCTTCCAGGCTTGCCCGCCCTGCCTTGTTCGGGACAAAATGGAGCTTGAGAGGGTTTTGAGAGTAGGTACCAAATTGGTCGACGGGTTACGGGGGCAATCCTATCCCGAGCGTCTACTTAGCTTGGGTATGTATTCAATGCACTACCGAAGGCTTCGAGGAGACCTAATCCTTACTTACCGCATTTTAACAGGGAAGGTTGGACCGGACTTGAGCTGGCTATTTAGCCCGGCTAGGTTGCCTTGTCTTCGCGGTCATCCCATGAAGCTACCGATCCGCGTTCTGACCGGATCAGGGCGGAAACACGGTTATTGCGTAGAGGTATCGAGCGCTGGAACTCGCTTCCAGAAAATGTAGGCAGTGAACCTACGGTTAAGGGTTTCGAGCGTCAGTTAGACGCTCCTGGGGGGCAACACGAAACTTTTCCCTTCTCCTGACCATATCCACCTTCAAACTTTTAGTTCTTATTCTGTCATTATCTTCACGCTTTGGCGTTATCCCTCATTTTAATGACTCATTCCTTTTTATCTTCAATTTACTTTTTACTTCTTTCTTACTTCACGTAACCTACACAGCGCGGACTGCTAGTGCAGGGAACGTGCGCAGTAATTGGTTGATCAGGGTGTGTTTCGGGTGTTTCGTTTTAGATCTATAAAGAACTAGCGCCTTATCATTTCCTGGCCCAACGATTTGCTCAAGAAGGAACACTCAAAGGATGTTCCTATCTTTCCAGTCCATCTGAAACTGAAATCTGAAATCTGAAACGCGCCAAAATGTACAAGATAAATAACTCATGTGAACAATCCACTTGCACTACCTTCATTCCTTAACCGTAAGGTATATAGAAATTACCCTTAACTTGCCCTTACCGTTTACATGACCATACAACATCTAAACTGCATGAGCATGTTTACCCTGCCTGTACCATGCATCCATCACGTTTAAGAATTTAATCGCTTATCGTTAGAAGGTCACTCCGAAAATTAGCCCCTCCCCTGGTTAATGGTTTGTCCAAGTTTTCTCACCTATATCCTGTAGAATTTCGTCCCACTTGTTGAAGGGGCTGTTGTTGGTCCTCCTGATTGGTTTCTCTCAAGCGTATTATCGGCAAATAAGTGGCTGCATGTGGATGGTGGTGGTTACGTGCTCTTGGCGTTCTCGTCCAAACCATTTGTTCATATATTCACGATAAACTTTGAATCGTTGGAAGTACTGGAAAGGCGAAATATATGTTACATCGGGCAATTAAAAGCCCACCACGAACGTATTTGTGGTGTCTCGTTCTGTGATTCTGGGAGTTTTGATTTGATCTGCGTGAATCTTTTCACATGTGGCAACGACGGTCTCGTACGTCTCTGGAGATATGTCAACTTGGAATGGATTCTTGAAGACGAATACAATGTACGTGAGGCAAATGAATCTCTCCTACCAACTACTGTTGCCTCAAAACACTTCGAGGGTAGGTGCTCGGCACTGGTTGGTACTGATAAAGGTAGCTTGATTTTGTGGCTCTCTCCGAGGCAACTGAACGAACCAGCAGTAGTGGTAAAGAAGTTTGAAAGTGAATGTGTGTTGTGTTGTTCTTGGGAAGCAGGCGGCTCTTCTGGTATTCCAATTCGGTTTGCCGTCGGGTACAAAAAAGGGATAGTAGGTGTATACGCCTATAACCCGGCATGCCTTAACTCATCATCAGTCCTCACTCAAATCTCACGGTTTTTTGCCCACGAAAAGGATGTCTGTCACGTTATTTGGAAGCCTACAGACGACCTACTTGTTACTAATACAGACCTCTCTCCTGAACTGCTTACTACTGGTCGTGATCAATTTATAAAGGTAAGCACTTGTGTTCATCCCACACTTCTGTTTACTCGTTTTACAAGTTAACCCATTGATACGTGCAAATTCTACCTTGGCCATTACTGTTTTTATTAGTACTTTCGTTACTACCACAACAATTCCGCTACTGTGCGAACGGTCGGCACTCATTGCGTTTTTATTTTTACCTACATCTAACTTCACCTTGGTAATATCGTTTACGTACTCCCGAGGTCTGTTAACCATACGCGGGGTGCCAATTTCATAATCTATCCACAACTTTTATTACCAAATGGGCCAATGGTTTATAACCATGCAAACTTCAATTTTGTTTTTTGATGTTTTTAGGTCTGACTTTCTACTAAGGTGAACAACGGTGTATACGATTTCGATTTCTTCTGGCTTGACATATAGCTGGAACGTTAAGGAATTACTTTAACGACAGGGTTACACTTTTTTGCTTAATGATTTACTGCCATCCGTCTCAGTCAACCTACGAGTAAAGTGCACGTTCACCAAGACCGATATTTCAAGTTCAGGTGGAACTGGTATGAGTAGAATCTCGTAAGTGTTCCTACTTGAGTGGATTGTTGAGCCAGTTGTTAAGGTGTTCCGAGTTCTTGATGGATCTAATACAGATCACCCGAGTCCCGCCTTGGTCAATCAATTTCCGCTCACGATCCCTGTACTAACCGTCCCTGCTGTGCCAGTTACGTGGAGCAGACAAGAGATAGAAAGAGAAATCGGAATTAGAGGGTAAGAAATTCATTTTATCGAGATAAATAGTGTGGGAAAGTGCAAACAATTAGAACCGATGTATGGAGAGGGGAGTCGGCTTGGAGAAGCGAGTGCTTTCATGTTGTCACTCAAGTGTGTCTAGTTGACGCTCCAACCACTTAACCGTAGGTTTCCTGACAATTTTTATCTGCACGGGAGTTCCAGGGCTCCATGACTCAGCGTGATAGCCGAGTTTCTGCTTTCGGTCAGTCCGCGGTTTATCCAGCTTCGTAGAATGCCCGCGAAAGCCAGACAATCTGGCAGGTCTGAATAGCCAAGATAAATTCAAGCCAATTTATCAAATTAAAATACAGTAGGTTGGAATTAGATCTCCTCTTATCTTTCGTTAGTGCATTGAACACATCCCCAAACTAAGTAGGCGCTCGGGGTACGCTTGTCCTCGTAACTTCTCGACCAACCTACTTCCTACAAACAATTTCCAGTTCCATTTTGTCCTTGCCGAGGCATGGTGGACAGACCTTGACGCAATATTCTAGGTGGGGTGGTACAAAAGCTAAGATGAGTTTCACAAACCTCAGTAGTTAGCGTCCCGAAAGAATGTCGAAGAAACCACCATATCCGGGCCGTTAACTAACCTTTTTCCAGATGTCTTTAGAGTGAAGTGTGGAACAGTGGGCAGTAGCTCAACGTGACGGGAGTCTCACTCCCATCGATCACATAACTTGTGGAGGAATCAGGCGCTCCGATACGCAGCACTGAACCCTGCCAGATTTATGGGCAGCAGCCACAAAACTGATCATTCCAAGAATTTATCCAGAGCCCGTTGAGGTGCGGCAGGACCTCCAAGGACATCAATTATATTCTAGAGCTTTAGGTCATCAGCAACGAAGAGCGATGACACTTCAAACTCCCCAAGTAAGTCATTTATGTGGAATGCGAACAGCGGCGGACCCAGCTCTGAGCCTTCCGAAACGCCGCTGAGGATAGCTTGTTGAAACGAAAGACTGCTCACGTGAGATCGCTATTGACTGTAGCTGCTTTCGTATAATCCAGCACAGTCGCACTGGTCATATATATTACCCCAACTGTTCCAAAGCTGTTTGGCAACCATCAAGCGAATCCTACTAGAGTTACACACTTACCCTCGAGCTGAACGTTACCGCTTCGCCTCATGGAATGTATGAATCCTTCCTCAAGCGTTTTCCTGATGCTCTGGTCACCGCAGATGATAATCAACGGTTCCCTATCTGCTGCATTAAGCAGGTTAAATAGGGGTTTGGATGCCACTGCTGAAGCCTGCGTATCTTCTTATCCACCTCTTGCACTTTTTCACCATTATCGTCCCGTTCCAGCTTCACTTTTATCCCCCTGTTTTCAACTCCTCTATTCTTGGCCCTCCTTTCACTTTGCTTTGATAGGCCTTTACCTTTTACTTCCAACCACATGCGAACGCGGTGCGTCATTCCTACCCTATCGACAAGCCCATTGCAATCAAACGGTGAAGCCCAGCTCATCGGCTTCCATTTGGAGCCCTTGATACTCCTTCAGATTGACATGCCTCAACGTACGCACATTGCTACAGATCGGTCAACAGGCAACACTTGCCCGAACATTAGAGACCCTCACGATTGATCTGCTGCTTATTGGAGATCCGCCTGCGAGACTCGAGCTCTGTGCTCGCTTTGCGATCCCCTTCAGGAAACACCAGTAGCAGTTTCTCATTACGCCTACCCAGTGACGATGCAGCAAGCAGCGGCCAAGCCGATGTTGGTATTGTCCTGAATCCCCGGGCTGAAGCTTCTCTGATAGACTGGATCACAATCAGTAGCCGGATGTGTGCAGTCCGATTGGCTGACTCGTTCAAAACTTCGAAGTCGCGCGGAACTAACAGGTGTCTATTCGTCATCGTTGCCTACGCGCCCATAAACTCTAGTCTACAAATTCTACGCGCCTACAAACTCGGCAAAAAAGATGGCTTCTATTGCTAACTGAACGAGCTCCTTTGCCACAGAAGAAGCATGGACACCGTAGTGGTGGCTGGGGATCTGAACGTTGGAGTATTATCCACTGATGAACTGCATCTTGGCGGCCAACACGGTGTAGGCTCTCGTAATGATAACGGTGAGCGGTCACTTCATTTGTGTGAAGATGCTCGCCTATTTCTTGCGAGCACTAGTTTCCGACACAGCACCCGTCGGAAGGTGACTTGACGCTTACCAACCTCGAACCAGCTATGGAAGCAAATCGATCCCATTGCGCAGTTATCGCTAGAGAGATTGCGTCCAAAACTGTCACTCGGTTTGGAGCACATTTGTGCACTTGTATATGCTGACCTGCGGATGTTTTGGCGGTTGCCCACGACGCCATTGACACCAGTCAACTGACGAAGCCAGCTGTTCTAAATGCCTATCAAAGTACACGGACATGCGAGTTGAGTAAGCGCTAACTTGATACACATAGGTCAACAGGCTGCACTCACGTACTTTGGACACTGGGTATTGATGTATGCTGTGTCCGAAATTAGGATCAATTACGCTAATGAGGTTGTTGAATTAACTACGCCCGGCTTGTTCTCTCGTTATTGGTTGCACGCATCCAGAGACGTGGGCGCAGCAATCACAGGTGAAGCTAGGGTACTCATCATCCTACGCTCCAAGGCTGAACCATCGTTAGTTGGTTGCATTCCGGTGCACAGCCGTTTGTGTGCAGCTCGTTTAGCTGCATCGGCCAAGGTTGATTCACGAAATAGTACAAAACGGTGTCTGTTTGTGATTTCCGCTTCTGCTTCCACCGACTGCAGTTCTAAGGCTCAGTGCTACTGCGCAGTGCTACTTGTTCAGATATCCTACACTTGCAGGGGATATGAACGCACAACTAGGGAGTCTGAACTCTTCAGAAGCTCAGCTGGCTGGATAATAATGGGCTTAACTCCGAACGGACTGATAACGGTGAGCGTCTGCTGCAACTGCGTGCAGTGCACCAGTAGTTTTTTTAGCAGCACTGCTTTTAGACAGTAAGCGCCGAAGTGCCACTTGGGGACTTCCTGTAGGTGGCCAGCGCTGAGCCAAAATTGGCCACATTTCTATAAGTTACAGGTGGCGTGCTTCCATTCCTGGTTGCCGCTCGTACTGGAATACCTGCGTCGACTCAGATCGTGCCTTGGTACCCTGTCGTTTCTCCATGAACTTTGCTGGGAGGCGCACCAAGCGTCTCTTCTGGTTGGCAACTGAGACATTGTCTCAGCCCTCGGTCAGACAAGCCTATTAAGACGCGCTGTGTGCTGAACTTTCGCTGTCTGGTTCTAATGACACTGAGCTTCAGTAGAATAGGATCTCGGCCGCCATGCACAACGCAGGATTATCTACTTGTGGCACGATCAATCGTCACCGCACCAGTCACTGGATATCCGAGAACTCTGTGAACCTACTGGAATCCAGAAGAAAACCCCCGACTGATTTTGAGCATAGTATGAACAGATGGACTAGTAGGCGCGAACTAAAGCGCAGCCTGTTTGCTGACAAGGAAGCCTGGTGGACAATTCTAGCTCAGACAATGGAGGAGGTAGGACCAGCACGCAATTTACCATAAGCTCTTCCAGCTGATCCGCACCACCGGCCCAGGAAACCAGGCGCCAGTGAGAGCGTCAGAGACAGCGCAGGTACACTGCTACACACTAAGGAGCGTCGTATGACACTCAAAATCAGTTTAGTGTACCCAGTACTTCCGGACTTCTTCCTACTCAGGTGATGCAGGATGAGCAATGGCTGGTTAGTTTAGAGGCTCCGTCGAAAGCTGAGGTCCACAACGCGATCACAGTCCTCAATCGTCTTCGTGCTGCTGCCCCGGATTCCCTCCGACCTGCAATATTTAATGATGGATGGTAGGTTCAATATCTCGGAATATGCTTGGAACCGACTCGGATCCTATAATTTCAGAAGGTTTTGAATACAAATCGGTGTTTGTAGGATTTTATTATGACTATAATAACATCCTAGAAAAACCGATTTAAATTCAATATCTGAAATCATGGAGATGAGGTCCTCTGCAATGCACTGACTTTATTCGAATGTATCTGGAATGAAGAGTGTCCCGGCTAATTGGAGCGAATCGATTATAGTGGCAATATACAAGAGCAGTTACACAGACTGTTCTAATCACAGTGGTATTAGTCTACCGCGAGTTATGACAAGATTACTAGCCTCGATTCTCGTTCGTCGCCACTGTGGAACGGGAATCTCGGATTAGGGAAGAGCAGGCTGGTTTCCGCCCAGTACGTCGTT